GAATCCGTTTTCTCCACTTGGACGAAGTAGTTACATAACTAGTCTCTGTCCCGTCTCTCTTTCTCACTGCAAATTCATCCTGGCCTGTCTGGATCACACATTTAGCTGTCAGTACCCTTCAGTGGCTCCCCACTGCCTCTGTTTGGTGAAAACATCATGCCTTTGGCTCTGTATCCCCTCTGATGGCATGCCCCAAAGCACCCCATCTGGCGTCTTTGACATGATTTTACTACTCCTAAAGCAAAGCAAGGCAAGGAACCATAGTTTCATTTTCTTATCTTTCTAATGGTGTGGCTCAACAATAAAACTAAACACTAAATTAAACTGCTTACAGACCCTCAGTGAATTAGGTAACTTACAGAAACACAGTCCAGGCATCTGTATGAATCTTCTGTTGAACTCAGAGATTGATTTCTTTGCCTCATTTGGAATCTATAAAACTGGATTTCTTAGCCTAATTATCATGAGGGGAGAGGATATCTTTGCACCTTTAACTTTTATCAAGTAATTCAGAAGTTCATGTGGTGCACATTAATGAAGTAGTATCAATTAGAGTAATGAATATAAGGGCTGAGAGGCACTCTAATATGTGCTACTGGATTAAGGTTTAATGTGGCATTTCACACCTAATGTTTAGGAAAGGGTTTTAAAGCTTAGTTTCCACACTTCACATTTGTATAAATGAATCCCTAGAGTTTGAAATTTGTTTATGATAGAGCAGACGTGGGAAAATGGACTCTGTAGGCGCCATGAAGTGTTTTGCAGTGAAGATTTATAGAAATGTTATAAAAGGCACCACAGGGACCTCGTACTTCTGGCTGATGGCATCACCACTACTAGGGCAGTATTTACTGTTTTTCTTATATGCCCGTTAACAAAAAGTGGTCAAATAAAGAAGATCAAAGCAAATCTGCCTTTTCCTTTCAAAGGGTTGATACTTCTTTGTGCAGTATTTCTTTATCCAGCCTCTTTGACGCTATGCATGATGCTGCAAGATGGCAGAACGTCGTGCCTTTATCGTCACAAAAGCCATCAGTAAGTGGCGTAATTCTAGGCAACTCTGAGGCCACCCTTTAACTTTAAGAATAGAGTGGCAAAGAACCAAATGGGAACCTTTGTTCCTTAGTGGTTGTTTGATTCCATGTCAACCTGTGTTGGCTCTGTCATTTTCAAAATCATGCATAGGTTTTAAGTTGCATAAAAATATTGTTAAAACTCCTGCTAGAAGTAAATTGCAGTTTATCTTGGGGAGATGCATTAAATACTTAAAAGATTACTGAAGTCTGGGAGTTTTGAAGAATTAACCATCTCCTCGAATGTAGAAATGTGGAAAAGAATTTTGGAACTTCTGGACCTTGATGAAAAGTAAATAACTTATACATACGTGGAACTTGTAATTTACTGGTGACAGACCATTCAATCTGCAGTAATAATTTCTGTTTTCACTCTAGCCCTTGAATAGTACAAATTAGGCTCTTTTTTCTTTCAATAATGTTTTCGTAAAGCTCACTGGGCTTTTAGAAAGGGAAATTTTAGATTTGTTTCTCACTGGTTAAGCAGATTTCTTGGATTCATTCATGGAGTGTGCTGTTTTCCAACTTTATGGTCACAGGAGTCTAGGAAGCATAAATGTGAACAGAAAGCTGACTCTATGTGTGTGTATGTGTATGCATGTGACTACATGTTAGTCTTTTATATAACGTTGTGACAGCTAGGCCCAACTCATGAGCTTACTTCCCCAGTGATCAGCAAGTTTGACTCTGTTTCATATTCATCCAACTCACAGGTTGGACATAGGCCAGAGATGCCAACCAGCCAGGGTAGGAGGACAAAGAGACATAAATTTATTGTGGACTAAACGGGTGGGGCCTGCAGTTGCTCAGGGGCCTGTGGGACTGTTTTAATTATAGTAGCTGAGTGGTAGTGTTTTTACCCATACATGTGAATACATTTTAAAATTATACCACAGAATATTTTTACGCAATGTAAAGCCAATCTAGTTGTAAAATCAACCCTGTTGCACGAGGCAGTGTCTCATTTCTCTCAAATTTGTACAAAGTCTCTATTAATACAACATTTATCACTTTAATGATTTAAACAAAGTAATTGCAAAACCTGACTGACTATTGGAGGACTGCATGCCCATTTCCCATGGGGACTGATTTAAAAGCCTCTATATCTGCATGTGACGTGCAAGGATACTTGTACCACATCTAATTGAAAATGCTCCTTAGTGCTGGAGAAGAGTTCAGGGGGCTGGGCGTGGTGGCTCATACCTATAATCCCAGCACTTTGAGAGGCCGAGGTGGGTGGATCACCTGAGGTCAGGAGTCAAAGACCAGCCTGGCCAACACAGTGAAACCCCATCTCTACTAAAAATACAAAAAAAATTAGCCGGGCCTGGTGGTGAATGCCTGTAATCACAGCTACTCAGGAGGCTGAGGCAGGAGAATCACTTGAACCCAGGAGGTGGAGGTTGCAGTGAGCCGAGATTGTGCCACTGCACTCCAGCCTGGCAACAGCGAGACTCCGTCTCAAAAGAGTTCAGGAATTCAGAGTAGTGTTTATTTTACTTTGGCGGATATTTAAATTTAAGGTCTCACCATACCCCTTTCCATATTTGCCTTTGTTTTGGATCAGAACGTAAAAGGGAATTGGGAGAAGATGGTAAAGTTTGGGTGTGAACATTTAAGAAACTAATCTCAAATGAATTTAGTCTTAAGTGAAAAATGTGTCCTTTATAAGGGGAGGAAGAAAATCCTTTATTATTATTATTTGATCTTGTGGTGTTTGCTTTTTTGTGACAGTGATGCAGCTAGTTGATGTTAGAGTCAGGATTTACAGGACAGCAGGATGGGAGCATCTTGACTCGGTGGAGATGATCTGTTAGTTATTAGAGCAGCAGCTAGCTTTATTTGGAAAGTGTAAGCTGTATTTGGGTGACAAACATTTCTAAATGAAATTAGTCATTTGCTTAAGACATAGATTTTCATTTTCTTTACCTAAAGGTAGTTTCAAGTATGCTTATTTTATATGTGGGTTTTTTTGTTATTCTTTTGCTTTTTTGTTTTGTTGTGCTTTTGCTATTGTACATACTGACCTGATTCTCTTGAAGTAGAGGAAAGAAGTTAATGTGGATTTGAAAATATTTTCATTTCACAAATAGTATGATATTGATGTATATTACACCTATGTTTATTGATCATCTGATTAAAGAAAAATAATAGGAAATAACAAATGTCTCATTCAAGAATAAAAGTTTATAAATATAGGAAATTATGGAAGTATGTTACATTTACAATTTGTATTCATGTTTTTATTTCTTAATAAGATCTTGAATATTGGAGGCATGCCTCCTCCCTTTCCTTCCATCTCCACATAAGGTGGAGAGAGATCTAGGATTCAAAAACATCTGGGTCAAGCATTCGTCATCAGGAGAAGCACTGGACTAGGAGGAAGGTGGTCTAAATTTTAATTGTAGACTTGGCACCAACTAACATTTGACCTAGGCAAGGAATTTCATTCACTTCATGAGATTTGGCTTCCTCGCATGTAAAATGATGCTAACTCCCTTGTTTTCTCAGGCCCATTCAGCTCCAAAACTCCATTCTCTTTTATTCCAAAGACCCACTGCACAGATTGACACAATTTAAAATAAACTCTAAAACTGAAATTTCCTGCATTTCTTCATGCCAGAGATCTAATAAATACATGTGAACTTAATTAAATCCACCAGACTGTGGAGGGAAAGAGTTCTGAAGATTCATTTATTTTTTTCAGCACGTGTTTGCTCGCCATTTAGTACATCCCCCAGCACCATGCTGGACAGTAAGAGTAGATACAAAGAAGTACTTCCTGATAGCGTTGATAGTTGAACTGGAAACACCTTGAAAATAATTACAAAGCAAAAAATGGACTAGTTACAGCAAACTATTATAAAGTATAATAATAGTTGGTATTTATTAAGCACTTCAAGTTGCTGGCAGCACACTCATTTAATCCTCACCCTAATCCCATAAGGTAAATGATAGTCATCACCCCAGTTTTACAGAGAAAATGGAGGCACCGAGAGAGTTAAGTGATTTGTCCAAAGTTACTGTTTCACACAAGAGATTTAGAGAGGATATTTTACTTGCCTTAGACTCCCTTGGGTCCTCTCTTGGATAAGTAGGTTTAAGTACTGAGAAAAAGTAAGGGAGTAATTTGGGAGTGGGAGGATTGCTTTTAACTTGCTAAGCAGACTTGATTTTTATTAAAACGCAAAAGCAACAAATTTTTTTTCTTAATTTGGGAGTTGGCGTGTTTTAATGTCATTTATTGTAAATTTTTTTTGGAGATAGCATACATTTTAAGCAGTCTAGAAGTGAAGAGTCTTAAAGTGAGATAGCTTATTTCAGCAGAAAACAATAATCACATGATTCTGTGCTTTGAAGAAAACGATCCAGAAAGAACTAAAATTGGGTCAAGTGTTGAGCATCGCTCAGCACCGCTGGTAGTGACTGCCCAGAGCGGTGGGGACTGAGGGTGGGGGGTGTGCTGGGTGTAATAGAGGCAGGTGTTTCTCCTTTGGAGAATTCCCAAGTATAGGTTCTGTCCTTGAAACTTGAGTTGCGGAGGAGACACTCCACATTGTGATCTCTGATGGGAGCCAGCATAATTCTTCCCTTGCCTGTCTTCACCGGAGGGTTTCAGGGACATGGCACTGGTGGCCCTCGTGACCGGTGCTGCCAACCATGCTCTGGGGTGGTAAGAATGTCAGGAAAGTAAAGGGAGCTGCTCTGTGGGTACCAGCCATGCCTTCATTCATCCAGGGGCTTGCAAACATTGTTACGATAGACAACCTGGCCCAGAAAAGAAGAAAAAGCCTTTCTTCCTCAGGCCTCTCTCTCCATACTGAGGAGTCTACTGCTGCTTGTGCAAGCAAAACTCTTTCTCCTCCCTTCCTGCTGCTCTGCCGCTGAGAGGAAGAGGGAGCTGCCCAGCGGCCTCACGCAGTAACCCTTTGCTGGTGAGTTCCCAGAACCCAGCATCCTGCAAGCTGCCGCTTCTCAGCTGGGGATGTGGAGCTGCTCTCCGCCCTCCTTGATTAGGATATGTCAGGGTTGTCAGGGCAACTGTTAACGGCAGCGTATCATATTTTCCCCTGTCTGCTGTGGGCTGAATATTTTACTGTGCGGTAGCAGGAAGAAGACTGGGAAAAGGTGCTGCAGCAGGAAGAAGCTGATTGAACAGGTTAGGCAGTGGTGGGAGGCATCAGACCCTGCGTGTCTTTAGTAGGGCTTTTCTGGAAAGTGTGTGTGTGTGTGTGTGTGTGTGTGTGTGTGTGTGTGCGCGCGCGCGCGCGCGCATGCATGCGCCCGAGCAATCACCAGCGCATGTGCCTGTCGGGGAGTCAGTGGGAGGGGGCTGGTAGGGGAGGTGGGGAAGCTGCTGCTAGGTGAGGGGAACTGCAGGGGCTCAGTTGCCAAGTGGCTGGTACTATCTGTCAGCTGTTTGCAAACTGTTTACCCATAGGGGATCTATTACAAGTGCTCAAATGAACAGGCAGCTTAGGAACTAGCAGCTTCCTGGGAGCTGCAATTACATAAGCATATATTTTTAATATAATAATAATTTAAAAAAAAAAAAAAACAAGTAGCAGCGGTATGCCTGGATCAGCTACAGCTCTCCGACACGAGAGACTGAAGAAGATCAATGCAAGGCCAATTCCCCTTGGTTTATTCACCATTAATGAGGAAGACGAACAGCAAAAGAATGGAAATTCCAGAAGAGCAAAAGGTATGCATTAGCTCCATCCTTTGGTCGGAGCCAGATCCAGCCCTTGTCTCTCACACTGCCTATAGAACATTTTATAAACTGTGCTGCTCGTGCATGCTCCGGGGAGTGCTTGTGACCTCCTAGCACGGTTTGCTGGTAGTGTTTATACCCTCTGTAGGGCTGTGTATGCATGAAATGGGAAACAGTTTTTGTAGATTTGGTATATTTCAGATCAGTTGCCTTTTTTGACTTAAGCTACTTTCTTGGCCTAGAGATCTTTAATTTTTCCCATGCTCACTTCAACAGTGACCGACTGGTCACTCTGTCCTCATCAAGAGGAGAAAATACTGAGTTATCAAGGTTTAAACGAACATCTCCCCACCTTCCTTAGGTGCCTCAGATAATTTTTGCTTACTTTAATGAAGTGAGTTTCTGCTTTAAAGGGATGAGTTAAAGTGACTCAAGAGTGCAACCTTTTCTAGGCAAAGGGTCAAAATGTCACTTCTCTTTCTATACTAAAATGCCTACTAAAATGCCGAGAGTAAAGAGGGGCACAGCAAACATTGAGGGCGAATGTGGAGGGTGAAGCTAGGGAGCGGGGAGCAGATCATGAGGTTGTATAACTTCTGATGATAACTTTGTCACTGAGTGCGTGTATGGCAGTTGAAATGCACAGGGTACAGAAAAGGGAAGTCTGACCCTTGTGTTGTTCTTTCACGGTGTGAAAGGTAGCAGCAGCTTGCCAGCTTCTTGAGGGCCTGTGTACTGCATCATCATCAGCATTGTCTCACAGCTGCCCTCCCAGGGCTGTAATTATCAGCCAGAGACAGCAACATCAGGCATTTTTGAAAAAGGGGCTTTAAGGCCTTTGTTTTATGTTTTCCAGCATCCTAAGTCTTGCTTCCCCTTCCCCAAAATATATAAGCTGTTCTTAAACAGATGGGTTATGAGTTTTCTTGCTTTTATGTGCTGATTAAATTTTAGCATGCACTTAAATTATTCTGTCACTGAGATATCAAATTTTCTTCTGTGATGGCAGAGAGGTAGCGTCACAAAGTAGAAAGCAAATATTTAAGCAATGATAAAGTGAAGAGTGTTAAATGGAATCCAGTGTCTGAGGACTCCTGGTTTTCTTTTTCCTGGTTCTTGAATGAATCTTTCTTTGCTTTTCTTAAATATAATTGAAACTGTCTACATTAAATCCAAAAGCATTTTACTTCATTTTTATGAGACTGTACACAGGAAAGTTCTAATAAGTAGAATCTTACTACTGTAGTTGACTTTTATTTACTACCAGACCAGGCTCCTGTCTGAGAACCAAATGACCTCAGAATTCAAATGATGCTATGGCTGGAAGGTGACTTAATGTGATTCTTTTATTTGCCTGTGAATTAGATTGTTGAACCAGAGTGTGTTGCTCTGGATGAAAACTAAGGACTTTAAATTTTTAGCGGCAAATCATTTTGCCTCTGAAAAGTTGGTAACTTTTAAAATTAACGTGGATTTGTTGAATTGTTCCCATGGGGTATTTTTGGAAACATTCTTGATTTGTGGTACTTTTCCTTGCATATCTTCAGCAGTAACTTAGGATAACCATCCATTTTATTCTTAATAATTTTCTTTTCTTTTCGAGGTGGAGTCTTGCTCTGTTGCCCAGGCTGGAGTGCAGTGGCGCAATCTGAGCTCACTGCAACCTCTGCCTTCCAGGTTCAAGCAATTCTCCTGCCTCAGCCTCCCAAGTAGCTGGGATTACAGGCACCCGCCACCACGCCCAGCTAATTTTTTTTGTATTTTTAGTAGAGACGGGGTTTTGCCATTATTGGACAGGCTGGTCTCAAACTCCTGACCTTGTGATCCTCCCACCTTGGCCTCCCAAAGTGCTGGGATTACAGACGTGAGCCACCGCACCCTGTCCTCTTCTTAATAATTTTCTTGAATACCTCTTCCTGTCTCCTGGTGTTGTTTTTGTTCAGTTGCCTTTTAGTATTTTTTTAAAAAGGAAGAGAAAGGGGAGGAAAGAAGATGCTTCTAAAAACCTATTTATTTTTGGCAATTTATGTAGCTTCTTGGATAAGAGAGACTTAATCAGGGAGTTTCTGACCCCCTACCATTTTTCTTTCTATCCCTACCCACAATGGTGGGGAGAGCAAAGGTGGGTATTGGAGGAAGACTGAGAAAAACAATCCTGTGCTGATAAGGATGTCCAAACTTTCTGTGGATCATCAGTTGTCTCTGTGACACATTCAGTAAAATAACCAGATAACCCTGGGTATCTCTAATTATGCTCAATGAATAAAATTATTGGCTTTGACTGAATTTTTCATTGGGTCCATCTTAACAATAGGAATATTCACTTTGTAGTCCAGCTTTGTTCCATGGAAAATGATGGAAATGTTCTGTATATGCACTGTCTAATACAATAGCCATTAGCCACAGCTGCAGAGCTTGAAATACAGCTAGTGCAACTGAGAAACAAAATTTTAGTTAAATAGCCACATGTGACTACCTTATTGGACAACACAGTTCTAGTCTGTAGAGCTGTTACGTTCTGAATTTGTGTCTTCTCTGGTTTGTTCGTCCTTACTGCTTCCTGGTGTTGGATGTGGTTGGGTCCTGAAATGAATGTGGTTATTAAGAAGAACGTCAAGGAGCAGACAGCCTCTTCACTGCATGAGAGCACAGAAAACTGGATGTGTAGACAAGTCCATTTTTCCTTTTCCACTTAAATGTTGTTGCCCTGTTCTGATTATGATTATTATTACCAGTCACTAGTTGCCTGTATCATTTGTTGCACCTTTTAATGGACTCTTTTTTTTTTTTTTCTCCTTTTTATTTTTATTTTTTCTTTAGAGACGGGGTCTTGCCCTGTTACCCAAGCTGGAGTCCAATGGCACGATCATAACTCACTGTAGCCTCCAACTCCTGGGCTCAAGTGATCCTCCTGCCTCAACCTCCTTAATAGCTGGAATTACAGGCACATGCCACCACACCCAAGTAATTTTTTAAAAAGTTTTTTTGTAGGGATGGGATCTTGCTGTGTTGCCCAGGTGATCCTGAACTCCTGTCTTCAAGTGATCCTCTCATCTTGGCTTCCCAAAGGGCCGGGATTACAGGTGTGAGTCACTGTGCTTGGCCCTCTCTTATTTTCTAAATCAGTTATTCCCAAAGCATCATAGCAAGATGACATACAGATTATATTTTGTGTGTGACTGTTGTGATACACAATCAGAAACTTTTCCCACCCCATGGCCTAATCTGCCAACCATACCCAAACCTGGTATCCAAACCTGGTTTTCATGCTTAGTATCTTTTTTTTTTTTAACTGGTAGTAAAGAAGTTTACCATCTAAATTTGATGAGTTGAATGTTTCCGTTCAGGATTATCCTGGCTAATGAGGAGTACCATCTTTTCAGGTACCATACTGTTGGGCAAACATCAAATAACTCAGTAAGAGTGAGCGTGGAGATTACCATCTGGGTTTCTGTGGTGGCTTCATAGTTATCTGGTGGGGTGGCAATAGTTTGTTTAGATGGTAGACTAGATAATTCTTGAAGAAGTGATTACTCTTCCATGTAATCAGTAGGAGTGTAATGTTTTACATACCTGACTGTTATTACCATAGTAATTAAATAGTCACTGGGAGCGAGCTGGGCTTATGCTGATGCTCTTATACCTCAGAACCTCAAGCCTCCTTGTAATGCTGACTTCAGGACTGGCTTAGGAGAGACTGTTTAGGTGCTGCAGTAACTAAATGCCCTTGGATAGGTCTCAAGGCAAACCTGCCTTATAATGAATTTTGCTGAGCACAGTGATTATTCAGTAATAAGGCGTTTTCCTCCTAAACCAGCATTTGTTAAATGCTCACTCTGTGGCAGATTGCTCTGCTGGGGTTTTTTGGAAGTAATGCAAAGATAATTGACATGGTTTCTGCTCACAGAAGTGCAGGAAGAAAAATATGTACAAATAATGCAAGAGTATAAATTGAAGTCAGGAAAGGAAGAGGACGAGAGTGGTGGAAATGTTAAGTATGTGCCAACTGTGAAGACATTGGCCTCAAGATTTTAATCTGAAACAGAGCGTTTAAGGGATATAGACTCCTCTCCCATCCCAAATGTCTGGCTGAGGTTGAAGACCTCAGACCTTAAAGGCGGGAGCAGAGAGTAATGGGCAAAGCATCTTTTAAATGTCATTATAGAAGCTAGACATCCACACAATGTTTACCTGCAGATAGGCACTTCTAGAGGCTTCATGACTATTACACAGTATATTTTACAACTTCTGCTTTGTAATGGTCTCCTGACTCATTCTGTGAACTGCCTAAAGCAGTCATCTGATTGACTTTATACTCCTGTCTTGTTTTTATATAAAACCTGATTGATGTGCAGCTCTAATACTAAATTTACTCATGACACTTGACTCTAAATGACTTTTGCTTGATTTTATCAAAATTATCATCTCCCTCAAAAGACGGAAGACTCATCACTCTCTAGGTGGATCATGGTCTTCCTGCTTTCAATCTTTCCCCTTTCCAACCCATCCTCCGTAGCATGCCTCTATGACATCTTTCCAATGGGAATATCTGCCTATTAGAAATAAACTTCTCAGTGAAACAGAGGTCTTGACTAACAGTCTTTGAGCCATATTTAGTCTATAGCTATGTTTATTTGTCTCCTGCAGGTGTTTATGAGTCAACATTTAGAAACTGATTTTTTCCTAATCTGGATTTCAGCTTCCCTTGAAAAATTGGAAGACACAGCCACTCTTGTCGTCTTCCCAGCAGTCATCAGCTGGAGCGAAGTAGCAACTGTCACCATAGCTAGAGACAGGTCATGCGTGCTGCAGTGCCCCTCTTCTAGAATATACATTACATGGCCTGCCTCAGTTATCTGCATTACCGTAGTCATTGCTTTTGTGACCCCTGACCTAAGGAATAGTCCAAGCCCCTTAGCATGGCACCTAGACTACCTGCCAGCTGGTCCCTTTTTCCCTCTTCATCCTCTTTCCTGCCACTCTTTGCACTT